GTGATTGGGAGAATTTGGCAAGCAGTAGAAAGACATGGACTTTAACAAAAAGAAGTACTGTTTTTGTTTTTATGAGTGAGTACAATTAGATCTTAATATCCCACCACAAATTTATAAATGCATAAAGTTTATATAATACTAGAAGGAAAATATGGTAAAGTACCAGTTGAAATCACATAATCAATTAAATGCTTATGTAAAAGTCAGTGGATATAAAACGACACCTCAGTAAACCTTATATAACCAACCAATAATATAGAAATTTGAAAGGTTCCAAATTACAACTCTTACTGGTTGGGGGGAAAAAAAGGGAGATTTTACTACTAGATATTCCCTGAATGGGGCTTTTGTTGTGTGCTGGCATTCTTCTTTCCTACGTATATGTTGATATTTTTATTTGTAGGCAAATTCAAACCCCTCAAACATATTCATGCCTGAAAATGCTTTTGAGAGAAAAATAATTCAGCATTTCTGGAATTTTAGTAGATTTGCTTCAAGGATCTTTAGAGGAAACTTGAACAGCAGTTTCTGGTAAGAGTTTTTTGATATCTCTATCATACCCAGCCTCAGATTGACCACATGATCTATACTTTCTCTGAAGATAAATGTTAGAAATTGGATCATTTGCATATTATTTTCAGTTGATTTAAACTCATTTTTTTTGTCACCTCCAATCCATATGACATTATTGGGAAATTGAAAGCACTGTACAAAAAGAGAACCTCTGGTATCCTTTACATTGTTCTCACCACCAAACTCATTGGCATCATCAGAAACAGATAAAACAGGTTTTTACCAATGGAAATGACACTAAAGAAGTTGAATTACCATCCATTTTGTATTGTACCCTAAACACTGCTGAGCCTTTCCATCTAACTTGTAGTTGAAACCTCCTATAAATAGGTGTTCTCTCTCCTGTTCTAATGTGAACTCCTTGACAAAAAGGAACACTTTATCTTGCTTTTATCTTTGTATCTCCACTACTTAACATAATACTTTCTACATATTAAGTATTTAATGATTGCATTTTAGTTAAGTCACTTATTTATTTTACATTTGCCAGGATTATATTTCCATTTCACTGCCTAGAAAGTGTGGTTTTAAGGAATTTCTAAAGAGAGATTAATTATTTCAATCTTGAAATTTTCATACTGAATAAAATACATGAATGCTTTTACTTTATGAGCTGTGAACAAAATAATTGCATAGCTCAAGGATGCAGTGGAATCTCCAAATAGTAATATTTAAGAAAATGACTTAATAGGGAATTAAAATTTAGATGCAAATGAAAATTATTATTTCCAAGGAAAAACCCTCAAAGTTCTGCTGCAAACTCCAAGACAAAGTATTTAAATTTAACACATATTGAATAATAACAAATTCTGCAAATTACTAGGGAAAAGACCTTCAAATATAAAGAAAAGGAAATTTGAAGAACACAGGACTATTTTGCACTGACCAGAAACCACAGGAGGGAACAAAATGATGTGTTCTGAAGTGGAATGGCATTCAAGATGCAGCTGAAGATGACACTCTGTAAATCTATAGACTAACCATAAATGAAAAAAAAACCAACAAAAAACAAATACAGAACATAAAAGAGTTATTTGAAATATTCTTAGGGGGAAAAAACAGACCAGAAGATATTACTTACTTCTCAAAAATTCCAGACAACAAAAATATAAGAAGGGTAATCAAATACAGCAACCAAGAACAAAAACAACAAAATTACAATAGTGAGAGCATCAGGAGACTTTGAAGGGGGGAAAGGGTGAAAGCAGAAGTCAAAGAGAGATGTAGTGAAGAACTAGTCCTGAAATACCGTGGACTAAACCTCATCATGGACTAAACCTGCCTACAAGTGAATCAATGTTTCTCTGGGACTAAATTATAAAATGTGATTTATCTTAATCAAGTCAAAGGATAACAAATGAGGAGAAAATAATTCAAGAAGGCACTCCAAAAAAAGAAATCCTAAAGCACAATGAGAAAGGAGGTAAAGGGGAGCACTGAAAAAAGTGGAAAACTTTGTTTCAGTGGTGGAATGGGATACTACAGATAAATGCTCCTATGCATCAGCTGAAGCATAATAAATTCTACTGCAACCCTCCATTATAACTATGCTTATCTCTCATTCTTAAATGTCTTTCTTGTAAACAACGTGGTTGGATTCTGATTTTTAATCATTTCTATTTCCATTTTATAGGTGATTTCTTGCCATTCATATTCAAAGTTGCTATTTGTGAATTTCCCTCCATCTTATTTTTACTCACTATTGTCCTTTTCAGCCTCTCTTTTTCTTTTATCCCTGTTACCTTATCTTCACCTTTTACCTTCTTTTTTGTGTGTTTTGTTTTGTTTTGTTTTTTAGGCAATTGGGGTTAAGTGACTTGCCCAGGGTCACACAGCTAGGAAGTGTCAAGTGTTTGGTCTGAGGCCAGATTTGAACTCAGGTACTCCTGACTTCAGGGCCGGTGCTCTATCCTCTGCGCCACCTAACTGCTCCCACCTTTTACCTTCTTATTCCTTATTCTACCTACCGCCTAAGAGTCCTTCCCTTATCCTCTCCCTCTTCCTCCTAAGTTTTAATCTACACACCCTTCTAAAAGTCCTGTTCCCAGTTCTCTCATCTCTCTACAAGTCCAGAAGACTTCTACACCCCTCCAGATATACATGTTGTTTCCTCTTCAATCCAGATCCAGTGAGAGTAAGGTTCCAACATTACCAGCCCTCCACTCCACCTGCTTCCTCTGTATCAATTCTTCCTTTCACACCCCATTTGGATAAGTGCTCCTTTTTACCTTTTGCTACACAATTTTGTTTTTTAGAATCACCCCAGCATACACAACTCAGCCACAATTATTGAACAGTGGTTTTGTTACTACCCTTTCAAACTACCGTAGTAATAATGACAGTCTCATGTTCATATATAAGTAAATAGTTTGACCTTAATAATTGCCTTATAATTAGTCTTTAATGTTTTTCTTATATTTCTTCTGGATTTTTATGTCAAATTTTCCATTGAGTTCTGGTATTTTTGGCACAAATACTTGGAAGTCTTTCAGTTCATCAAATGTCTTTTTTTTTTTCATTCAGGATTATACTCAACTTTGCTGGATAAATTATTCTAATCCCAGTTCCTTTATTCTTTGAAATATAGTATTCCAAGAACTATTATCTTTTAGTGTAGAAGCTGCTAGGTCTTGTGAAATCCTGACTCTCTTTCTGCAATATTTAAATTGTTTTTTTTCTTATTGATGGCAATATTTTCTCCTTAACTTGGGAATTTTGAAACTTAGCTGTGAAATTCCTGTAAGTTTTCTTCCTAAGACCTCTTTCACATGATGAATGGTAGATTTTTTTCTATTTCTACTTGACCCTCTTGTTCTAAAATTTCAGAGCAATTTTCCTTAATAATTCCTTGTAATGTTATATCCAGATTATTTTTTTTTGTTAGCTTTCAGGTCATCCAATAATTTTTATATTCTCTTTCCTTGATCTGTTTTCCCGTTCAGTTATTTTTCTAATGAGATGCTTCAGATTTGCTTCTAGTTTTTCTAGTTTTGTTTCATAATGAAAAAAATTGGGACAGTAGCTTATTGTTGGTGGAATTGTAAAATGCTCTTTTTTGGAGAGCAATTTGGAATGATGTCCAAGGAATTATTAAACAACCTTTGACCCAGCAATACCACTACTAGATCTATTTCCAAAGATGATTAGGGGAAAAGGAAAAAAAAAACCTGTATGGTCTAAAATTATCATAGCAGCTCTCTTTGTGGTGGCAAAGAACTAGAAATTGCAAGGATGCCTATTATTTGGAGAATGGCTAAACAAGTTGTGGTATATGATTGGATGGAATTAGTATGTGCTGTAAGTATATGCATATATATATATACATATACATATACATATGCATATGTATATGTATATATGTATATGTAATGTGCTATAAGAAATGATGAGCTCAATGAGTTTAGAAAAACATGGAAGACTTGCATGAAATAATGAAGAGCAAAATAAGGAGAACCAAGAGAACATTGTATACAATAATAACAATATTGTTTTAAGAACAACTTTGAGCAAATAAGTTAATTTGTCTATTATAAATACTTAAATTAATGATGGAGAAAGATGCTATCTGCATCCAGAGAAAGAACTGATAAATAGAAATATGTATGGAATAATTTTACACACACATACATGTATAGATATACATATATATATCTATATGTATATGCACCTATTTGTTTTTAATGGCAGCCATCTCTAGGGCAGGGGGGAAGAGGGAAGAAAAAAATGTACATGAAAATTTTGTTGTATATTTAAAAAGAATAGCAAGTTGTGCATAGCAGATTAGCAGTTTATTGTACAATCATCTTTCTTATTGTATTATGTCATGGAAATGCTTATTTTATTCCATAACTTACAAAGAAAATTTAAAAAAGAAAAAATAACAGCATGAATCAGTCACCTGCAAAACTTGGATCTTTCAAATATGGAAAGGAAGAAAATAATTTATTTGAGTAAATGTGTACTTTCTCATTTGAGTAATTAAGTTGGTTGATAGATTGTTAACTCTAAAAGGATTTGTCACTGAAAGGGACCTTAGGAGTTATATAGATAAACTAATGGCAAAACTTACCCGGCTCACCTGATGATCCAAAATCATTCAGCTAGTTGATATCAGAGCTAAGATCTGAGACTATAATGAATCTGTAGACAAATTATTCTCAACTTCACCAAACCCCTAGAGAATCTACACTATTACCTCCTTTCTCACTGAACACAGCTAAAGCCTTACTGTCTTGAAGTGGCTAGAGGAAGAGGGTCAGAAAGGGAGTACTGTGAAAGTGAGAGGTAAGAGAGAGAAATAGGATACAGGAGTTACAGCAAAATTAGGAAATCTTTTTTGCAAGCTTAAAAAAAAAACTTTAGGTGCATGGGGAAAGTAGTATAAGGTTACAGAAAAGCGGAGAGCAGTATATAAGTGGGTGACATACCGTAAAGGGTAATGAGCAGATCACAAACGTGATGGTCGTAACAGCCAAAAGGATGAGGTGGTCTATCTCCTCCGACATGGACATTCTCTCCCTTTTTTTGAGGCTCGCTGGATTACTCTTGCCTCTGTCCGGGAAGGGCACCCTACCGCTGCTCTTTCTTCGGTGGTGCATGCGGACTAGGTTAAGGATGACACTTAAGTTACAGAGTAACACTGCAACAATGAGAAGCAGTAATAGTGTGGCGTATATCTGCAAATAAGAGGACTTCTCCTGCTGGATGAAACACCAAGTTCCAGGGCAGTACTGCACATACTGCCCGTTGTTCAGCAGTGGGAAGGAGCAAAAGAGAAGAGAAAAGACATAGATCCCAGGCAGGACCACCAGCCCAAGACGCCAGGTGATGCAGCGCTCGTAGAAGTAGGGGTGGCCGATGGAGAGGCAGCGCTCTAGAGCCATAGCAAAGAGCATCAGCATAGTGGCCAGGCTGAAGAAGGTCATGGCGAAAGCAAAGTAGGTGCACATTCGGCCACCGGACGCCAGTGCTACCAGAGTCTGATTCCTTGAGTATGATGCCAGCACAACTGGACTGATGAGGCAGGTCCCGAGGAGATCTGTGAACACCAACTCAGTCACTAGCAAGTGGAACAGGGAAGTGGGGGTCCTACAGAAGCAGCTAAGGGAGCCCTGGTCACTCCGAGAGCCACTCCACCAGCGGTGTAACAGCAGTGCCAGTGCTAGGAGGTTGCCCAACACTCCCGCAGAGAACATTACAGCGCTTATGGCTGGACTTTCACCAGGCGGCAGCCACGGTCGCATGTTGCAGTCCCAGGAGTTAGAGATATTGTTCATGATTGGAAACTCTCAGTTTCACTTCGGAGGGGAAAGGGATGGGAGGAATAGGAAGAGAAAGAGGAAGAGGAGGATGAGAAGGAAAGAGTCAAAGGGGGCAGGGGGAGGAGAAGTAAGGAAAGCAGAGACCATAGCAGGAACTAGGACAAGGGACATCTTCGTGTCCTCCAGGCCCCTGGGGAGCTCAGTTTCCTGGTTTAGAAAATAAGTTGTTTGCACTCCCCAGACTCCCCGGAACTGCAAAGTCACTCATCAACTACTCAAGAGTCTATTGCAGCATTGCAGCCTCAACATCCGGAGGAAGGTCTTAAGTACTCTCCTTCCTTGAGCTAAGAGGGCAGCGACCGCCAGCAGAAGTGGGCAGGTCAGAAGGGGGAAATACTGGGAGCCAAGCTGAAGTGAGTAGGAGAGTATAGTTTTGGCCTGAGGATTGGTGGAAGTCACACTGCTTTCCCGGGGAGTAGCTCCAAGCCTCTTCTGGGCTCTCTTAATGAAGTGTGTACTCTGAGAGAGAGAGAGAGAGAGAGAGAGAGAGAGAGAGAGAGAGAGAGAGAGAGACAGAGACAGAGAGACAGAGACAGAGACAGAGACAGAGAGACAGAGAGAGACAGAGAGAGAGGAAGGAAGGAAGGAAGGAAGGAAGGAAAAGAAAGAAAGAAAAGAAAGAAAGGAGAGTGGGAGGGAGGGAGAGAAAAAATTTGGCATCACTGCTCTAGGGAAAGGCTTGTCTCAAGCCACTTACTTCCTAGCCTGCTAGAAGCTACATGTCTCCTAAGACTGAAGAACAGGAGGAGAGCTCCCTGGGGGATTATAAGCTACATTGGAGTCTGCTTGAAAAGCTTCATAGCCACCCCGCACCCGATATGTCCACATACAGGCTTTGACAAAGAAGAGATAAAAGATGACCAGATAGGACAAGGGCAAGAAGTTTAGAAACAATCTAAATTCTAGATAAAACTTTTTTTTAAGGGCTTCATTAGAATCTCCTGTCAGGGCCAGCTTCAGATATGGGTTATTTATAGGAGATATTTGAAAGAATCATTTAGGAGGAGCCAGTCCTGAATGATTTACAAGGAAGAGAAAAGCATGAAAGAAAAACGAGGAAAAGGACAATTTGATACAACCAAACTAATTCAGAAGTGCTTGTTGAGACTTCACATTTGCTTTTAGAACTAGTTTCACGTTTTTCCAAGTCAAGACCACACCCTGTAAACCATACTAAAGTCACTTGGTTACTTAAAGCCTGCTTTTAAAGCAGCTTTTTTAAATGAAAAACAAAACAACACAAAATAAAGAGAATAACTGGGAATGGCTGGGAAATTGACCGATTAATTCATAATAATTCCTAGGGCATTTTGCACGTGGCTGAGGAGGAAAGATGACACCAAATTGGTGGAGAGGTTACTGCACTTGACTGGGTGCTTCCTACATGTATACATCTGTGCCAGAAGTCAGTGCCAGAGCTTTTAAGAGATTTTAGAAACTGCAGACTTGTAGGGCAAATTAGGTCTTCAACATGTCCCTGATTTCCAGAGAAATTTTCCCCTTGGGTGAAACTGGAACATATTTTTTAATTCAAACTGAGCTATTATCTCACTCCTAGACAAAGAAATCATTCACCCTAGTATAATCTAATCTGTAAAACCTCATCCCCTTCTCTTTATCCTATCTATTAAAGCATGTTGTAGAGGCTTAATGAAATGCTAATCAACTAACTGACTGATGTAGAAGATACAGCTCTCTTGGTCTAGCGTAACTGGCTATGCTAAAGGATACTTTCTTTGTAACAATCTAAGTATCCCCTTTCTTTTTTTTTTAAATTTAATTACACGTAAAAACAACTTTAATCTTCTTTTTTCAAATTTTGATTTCCAAATTCTCTCCCTCCATCCCCTCCTCATTGAGAAAGCAAGCAATTTGACATAGGTTATACATGTGTAGTCATGCAAAACACATTTCCATGTAAGTCATGCTGTGAAAGAAAATAGAGGGAAAAAAAAACAAGAAAAATAAAGTAAAGAAAAAGTATCTGTAATCTGCATTCAGGCTCCACCAGTACTTTCTCTGGAGATGAACAGTACCTTTCATCATGAGTCCTTCACAATTGTCTTGGATCAATGTATTGCTGCCATCAAGGAAACAGGAAACACTGTTTTCCAGAGTTAAGGATGAGCTTGGCATAACAACAATCCTTTGCATTCACCCTCTGGATGAATACTGCTGCAATTAAATCAAAGAACTAATGGTCCCTGAGCTCAGGCAAACACCAATAGGCCCAGACATAAAGTCCTGCTATGAATTAGCTTTTTGTCACTAGACGAACTTGCCTCACTGTTGCTGTTATGCCTCGGTATGGTTGCTACACTACATTATTTGACTCTTTGTCTATCCACAAATATGTAAATCAAGATTTAGCCTCACTTCCTCAGGTCCCCCACTGGAGGAGGGGTGTGGTCCTGCACATGTGTCTAGTTCCCCTCCTTGCTTGCAAGCCATTTCCCTCACTATAGAAAATAAACTTTGTCTCTGCACAGTTGTTCTTGCCCATTCTATTTGGCTCCAGCCTCTTCAGGCTAAGAGGTCCAGTCCAGTTGACATTGAGAATAGCTAAATTATTCACAGTAGATCATCATACAATATTGCCATTACTGTATACAATGTTCCCCTAGTTCTGCTGATTTTACTTTGCATCAGTTCATGTAAGTCTTTCTAGGTTTTTCTGAGAGCATCCGCTTTGTCATTTCTTTCTTTTTTTCTTTTTTTTTTCTTCAGGCAATTGGGGTTAAGTGACTTGCCCAGGGTCACACAGCAAGCAAGTGTTAAGTGTCTGAGGTCACATTTGAACTCGGGTCCTCCTGATTCCAAGGCTGGGGCTCTATCCACTGCATCACCTAGCTGCCCCAAAAATTTTGTTTTGGGGTTTTTTTTTTGGCTAAGCAATGGGGTTAAGTGACTTGCCCAGGGTTACACAGCTAGTTAAGTGTGTCTGAGGCTGGATTTGAACTCAGGTCCATCCTGACTCCAGGGCCAGTGCTCTATCCACTGTGCCACTTAGCTGTCCCCTGCTTGTCATTTCTTACAGCACAACAGTATTCCTTCACAATTATAAACAACTTGTTTAGCCATTCCCTAATTGATGGACATCCCCTCAATTTCTAATTGCTACCACTAAAAGAACTGCTACAAATATTTTTGTATATATAGGTCCTTTTCCTTTTTGTTTTTTAACTCTTTGGGATATAGACCTAGTAGTGGTATTACTTGGTCAAAGGGTATGCCTGGGTTTTACAGCCCTTTGGACATAGTTCCAAATTGCTCTCCAGAATGGTTGAATCAGTATACAACTTCAATAGTGTATTAGTGTCCCAATTTTCCCACATCCCCTCCAACATTTGTCATTTTCCTTTTCTGTCATGTTAGCCATTCTGATGGGTGTAAAGTGGTAGCTCAGAGTTGTTTTAATTTGCATTTCTCTAATCAATAGTGATTTAGAGCATTTTTCATATGACTGTAGATAGCTTTGATTACTTCATCTGAAAACTGTCTGTTCATATCCTTCAACCATTTATCAGTTGATAAATGGCTCTTATTTCTATAAATTTGACTTAATTCACTATATATTTGAGAAATGAGGCCTTTGTCAGAGATATTATTGTAATTTTTTTTCACACATATGATTACTACTTCCCTTAATTCTATTTCCTCCCTATTTATCCTACTTTCTCTCTCCTCTCACCCTGTCCATTTGCAAAAGTGTTTTGTTTCTGACTTTTACCTGCCCCAATCTGCTTTCCTTTCTATCAGCCCTCCCCACCTTCTCTTGTCTCCTTCTCCTCCTACTTTCCTATATGGTAAGATAGATTTCTACAACCAAACAAGTGTGTATACTATTCACTCTTTGAGCCAATTTCAATGAGAGTAAGGTTCATATGCTCCCCTCTATCCCCCATCTTCCTCTCCACTGTAAAATTTCTTTTAGACCTCTTTTATGTCAGATAATTTACCCCATCTTCTTTTTCACTCCTTAATTTTAGATAATGATCACTTCATATCCAACTTACACCTGTGCTTTCTGTCTACGTATAGTCCTAACTGCCCTAAAAATGAAAAATTTTCAGTTACAAGCATCACTTTACCATGTAAGAATGTAAACAGTTTAACCTTATTGAATCCCTAATGATTTCTCTTTCCTGTTTACCTTTTTATGCTTCTCTTGAGTCTTGTATGTTTTGAAAGTCAAATTTTTTATTCAGCTCTGGTCTTTTCATTAGGAATACTTGAGAATTATACTCAGTTTTTCTGGGTAGGTGATTCTTGGTTGTAATCCTAGCTCTTTTGCCTTCCAGAATATCATATTCCACCCCTCCAATCCTTTAATGTAAAAGCTGCTAAATCTTGTGTTATCCTGACTGTGGTTCCATGATATTTAAATTGTTTCATTTTGTCTGCTTGCAATATTTTCTCCTTGACCTGAGAGCTCTGGAATTTGGTTATAATATTCCTGGGAATTTTCATTTTGGGATCTCTTTAATGAGGTGATCAATGGATTCTTTCAATTTCTCTTTTATCCTGTGGTTCTAGTATATCAGGGCAGTTTTCCTCGATAATTTCTTGAAAGATTTTGTAATCATGATTTTCAGGTAGCCCAGCTCTTCTTAAATTATCTCTTCTGGATCTATCTTCTAGGTCAGTTATTTTTCGAATGAGATATTTCACATTTTCTTCTTTTTTTCCATTCTTTTCATTTTGTTTTTATTGTTTCATGAAGTCAACAGCTTCCACTTGCCCAACTCTACTTCGTAAGGAATTATTTTCTTCAGTGAGTTTTATACTTCCTTTTCCATTTGGCCAATTCTACTTTTTAAGGAGTTCTTTTCTTCAGTGATTTTTTTTGTGTAGCTTTTTCCATATGGCCAATTCTGCTTTTCAAGGCAGAATTTCTCTTCATTGGATTTTTGCTTCCATTTTACCATTTGGTTTATTCTGTTTTTTAAGGGATTATTTCTTTCAGTATTTTTTTGTGTGTGTGCCTCTTTTATGAAGTTGTTGCCTCTTTTCTCATGATTCCATTGCATCACTCTCATTTCTTTTCCCAATTTTGCCTCTACCTTTCTTACTTGATTTTTAAAATCCTTTTTGAGCTCTTCCATGGCCTGATGCCAATTCATATTTTTCTTTGATGCTTTAGATGTAGGATTTTTACTTTTGTTGTCTCCTTCTGAGCTTGTGTTTTGATATTCCCTGTCACTGTAGTAACTTTCTATAGTCAAGATCTTTTC